AAACCAGGTCCTACAACACAGCCGTCAGCGTCGCTAACCATTACACCGGATGAACAGCTATAAGATTCATAATAATAGGTAGTGCGTTGTCAAAAACAAAAATATGTTTGCCTCAACAGAAACTGATATGTTATTATTAGCATAGTCTCTTTTTGTTGCCCACGATCAATGGTGCGCATGTCGAAATCGTGTGATTAAATACGGTTAAAAAACCTTGGTATCTTCTTATGAGACACAAAAACTGTAACTAAATATTCATGTTTATTTATATGTAATTAATATTAGAAAGTGTATCCATATATACTTTTTGGGCACACGTGATTCCTAAGCGACCAAAACTGGATTTATGCAAAATGCATTCAAAATGGAGTTTTAATTTTGAAGTAAGAAACAAGTTATGAAAATTTGACTTACAAAAATATAGGGTTTTGAAATATAGGAACATTTTTTTTTAAAAGGTAAGCTTTTCATTGGTGTGAATTATATTTAAAATTAATCCGAAAGCATTTACCCAGAAATTTAAGAGCCATCACAAAAAACTCTGAAAAAATCAATGTCTGGAATTTTTTATTAGTAACACAAAAAGTTAAATTCTTAAAAACAAAGCATTAATGAAACATTTAATCTGCAAACATCTTCTATACAGTCATAATAGTTATTCTTTCAAAAAGCAGATCACGAGTCGTTTATATAAAAATCGCCCAAATGAAAGTAGTAATACACAGTCGGTTTGATAAATGGTTTAAGGCTATTAATGTAAATTAGTATATATAGGAAAGAAGTACAAGGGGGGATCAAATGAAAAAGCACGAAACGACACGGTGGGTACAAATGTAGACTTTATTCAAAATATACACCATAGGCCTGAGCACAACGATCCCACTGATGAACAAGCCGCAGGATTCCTTGTTCCCAGAATTCCTGTGGCTGTGACGAGACCCAGTCCTTCACAGTGTCCTTGAGTACGTCATCCGAGTTGAAGCGCTTTCCTTTCAGGTGTTTCTTCAGTGGACCAAACACATGGAAATCACAGGGTGACATGTCCGGACTGTAGGACGGATGGTCCAACGTCTCCCATTGGAACTTGTCCAGTTCCATTTGTGTGACTCTGGAGACGTGTGGACGCGCGTTATAATGGGGTAGAACCACACCCTCCGTGAGCAGCCCGGTCTTTTGTTCTTGATGGACCTGCGTAGGCGGTCGGAGTGTCTCACCAGTACACATCGGAGTTAATGCTTTTTCTGTGCTCGAGTAATTCTGTGCTCGCATCATTTGGACGCGCTTTTTATAAGAGCCTTTGCTCTCTCTTGCGCATGCGGGCACCCGCGCATGATCCAATCCCAGTCAGAGTCTCCAATGGCATCCCGAGATGTCTCGCTACATTCTCCCTTGGCGGAATATGCAAATATTTAACTGTTTCATTTTTATGTCGTTTCGTACCTTTTCATTTGATCACCCCTTGTAATACAGGCGTAGCAGAGATAGAATAGACAATGTCACCTTATAGGTTAAAACAAGTGTCTCAATGGTCCACAACTCGATGGAAACCCTGTATGAAGACTGTTTGTTTGTTGTGAAACCAATTTTCAACAGCAGTTTAGACCTCATTATGATCGGGAAATTACCATCCCTTCTGAGTTTTCTGGAGTGGACCGAAGATGGACCATATTCACCCGGCAAAAGTTCTGAGCTCAGTTCAGGATGCTCAAGAACATCCCTGCGGAATTGCCATAACAATGTTTGGCATGCCACAGCCCCATGAGGATGAACATTATCACTGTAGATCAGTGGTTAGAAAGCTTTTTCAACTCACGGAACCCCTAGAACTTGAAAATGCTTTCTTGGAGCCCCTAGAACAAGAAAGTGTTTTCGTAGAACTCCATTCCATACACATATTTCGAAGAATGTATCTCAAAATAATGTTTAAAGTAGATCAACATCTTATGAGCACTTTATGTAAGGGCAATTTAAAAACATTGCATTTATTATTAAAAATTATAATCTAATTTCTTTTATATAATTTATTCATTAACAATATTAATTTATGATTCAAGTTTCACCTATCCTTGCATTATGTTTAGTAATTTGGATCTGTGCTTGTTTTTTCTTACGCAAACTGCCAAAATCTAGGTCTGTTGAGATTAAATGCAATCGCATTACTTATTCAGAATTTAATGTGTTTTTTATACTTTGTTTTTGCTGGCACATACGTTGTGTGAGAAATGTTCTGAATGGCATTAAAATGTTTATAACTGTATGAGAAATTCCGTGTATTTGGTATGAACTCGGAACGTGAAATTTAGAAGCTGTTCTTATTAAATTTAGATTTTATAACATTTAATCTGTTGATAAGTTGTTTCTTCTCCTTCATGATAGGTGTTTTTTCGACAAATGTAAAATATGCATTAGAAAACTACTTAGTTTTGCAAGACATTGCGCTAACTAACGAGTATAAAATTACCTCGTAGAGCCCGAGATAGTAAACAATAGAAAATTCGCAATCTAGTAAAAAGTATATATATAAATATAAAGCGTATATATTAATTTTTTTTGTTACATTAAAATTTAAAAAGTGTTGCATAGTAAAATTATTATATACAAATAAAATTTTCCGTTTAATGAATAGGATGAGCTTTAGATACTTCTAAGAAGCCAAACTTCATAGATAACGAGAATTTATTTTGCATACAGATTTATTTCTTCTCGAGTTTTTTTTATTGTGACTTGGTGGAACCTCTCGATATGCCTTGTGGAACCCCAGGGTTCCATGGAACACAGTTTGAAGAACTGCTCTAGATAATAAACACTGTAGACAGATTCCAGTGGTTCTTGATGTTCTTTCTCAGTTATTGCAAAGGGGCACAGTATATGGAGGTATGCGAGAACAATGCCTTTTAACATGCTTTCACGCTATCATACAAGAATCTAGAGGGATCTGAGAATATTGCTTGCATTTCCAGAACCAGGCACCCTCTACAGGGGCATGTGGGAGTCATCTTTCTCTTCAAATTGTGGAGTTATTGCAGTAATGCCACTTTCATTTGGGCGACTCTTATTGTTTGGAAATAACTAATGCTATAGGAAAATATGAGACTTTGTGCGAAACTACCTCCAAATCAGGCCAGGAAAATCATTATTATCCGCTGGTGGAAATACGTCTTATAATAATTTCCAAAAAGACAAAAAAAATTGAAGGTTTATTTTTTTACATGATTATTTACCCTAGAACAAAGAAAAAATAATTCAATGATAGATAATATAAAAAACCCCATAAAGAATGAAAAAACACATATTTACAAAAAAATGCCTTAAATTAAAAACAAATATTTATTTGCAAACCATTTAAAGAAACGATATAAAAAACGCTTTTAAAAAGAAATTTTTAGATTTATAAAGAAAATTTCTCAACTTTGCTTTGAAATTGTTATAGAAAATTTGAAGAAAAAAAAAAATCTAGTAATTTTTTAGAACATTGCTTTGATAAACATTAAAAAAGTAAAACCAAAATAAAAACTTCTTTATATATTAATTTTTTGTGGCCTAATCATTTTATTGAAAAGTATTGAAGACATCGAAATGACATCAGATGTTTATTAGAAGGTTAATCCAATTATACGACATACATCTGATTCACAAATCCAAAAATCATTATGCTGTTTTAAATATTAAAGGAGCAATTGTTTTTCTATTTCAAGGCACATTTGGAATAAAAAGAAAAATTGTTAATACAATGCATAATTCATGAGTAAACTGCTGTATGACATTCGTAAGTCAATATTATTGTCAAAGATGTCTTCTTTTCTTTATAGATTTTTGCAGTAAGTTGAAAATGGTGTACAAGCAAAATCATGAATCATTTATCATTGTGACGGCTCATTTTTCTGATGAGCGCTAAATCTTCAAGCGCGATCAAAAAAAAAAAAAGAAGAAGAAGAAGCAATATAAAAAAATACAATAGGTATTGATCAATTACTTTCATTCATTAATAACTAAAAGCAAGTTTTCTTCTATAATCCTATTATTTAAATAAAGTTAAGTAAATACAGTTTGAAATGAAAGAACAATCTTTATATTTATATTGACAGAAAATTCAAGTTAAAAACATGTACGTTTGTAAACATTACATGCTTCTGAGAAAAAATTAACGGATTTATTCCAAGAAATTATAAGAGAAAAAATTAAATTCTTTTCATCACAATTCATAACATCTCTTTTAAAACTTACTTTAGAATTAACGTGTACTTTCTTGTAGTTTCTAATCCCAGATTATCTAACAATGCTCTTGACAATCTCCACGAATTTAAAAATTCTAGAAATTCTAAAAACAGAAGAGGGTCTTAAAGGACCTTGTCCTTTTAAAAATCCAAATAAGTCAAGATGTGGGTTGGGGAGACCAGTGCGAAATAACACCAGCGGCACTCAGGAAATATTTTCTGACCCTAACGATAAGTGAAAGCTTTTATATGGATGCGTACAAATCGCGAGAATGCAGTCTTACAACGTGTATTTTTAAATAGGACTGTCTTTATATATTAAGTTTATACGTGTTTTTCTTCTCTGAGATAAAATTACTGTTTTGTTTGTTGAGCAATAATTTATTTTAGCATTTATTGTGAAATGAAATTGCGTTTAATGCTCTATAAGATTTAGGCTGAGGTATTTAAAAATATAGGCTCAAGGACATTTATGTTATATTTATAATAAAGTGTAGTTAATTTTATTCAATTCCTACTATTAGCTCACATTTTCCCTATACATATATAAATATGTAACCTATATATATATATATATATATATATATATCTTGTTCAAATTTTCAATCGTTAATAAAAAACTTTCTTTTATCCATTCAAATTTGATTACATTTTTAAAACTTGTAATGGATGACACTTCATGTTGATACAGACTTTTCAATTATTAATTCATTAATTTAAAAAAAAAATAGCTACAAACAAAAATCATAGTCTAATAGCAAAAATAGAAAGGAAAATCACTGGATGGTTCTCTGTAATGCAATGGATAGCATGTTGAACTTCTAATCCAAAGGCCGTGGGTTCGTATCCCACCTGAAATAGCCTTACTTCTGAATGTGATTTCTTTTATACTAAACTATTTTATTGGAATAATTAAAAATAACTAATAAATAAACAGTGAAACAAACAAAAAATAGTCCAACACCATACACAGAAAGGAAAATCGCTTTCTATTTCCTACATAATATTGTGATTCTGTCATATATATATATACAAGGGGTGATCAAATGAAAAGGTACGAAACGACATAAAAATGAAACAGTTAAATATTTGCATATTCCGCCAAGGGAGAATGTAGCGAGACATCTCGGGATGCCATTGGAGACTCTGACTGGGATCGGATCATGCGCGGGTGCCCGCATGCGCAGGAGAGAGCAAAGGCTCTTATAAAAAGCACCGTCCAAATGATGCGAGCACAGAATAACTCAAGCACAGAAAAAGCATTAACTCCGATGTGTACTGTGAGACACTCCGACGCCTACGCAGGTCCATCAAGAAGAAAAGACCAGGGCTGCTCACGGAGGGTGTGGTTCTGCTCCATGATAACACGCGTCCACACGTCTCCAGAGTCACGCGAATGGAACTGGACAAGTTCCTATGGGAGACGTTGGACCATCCGTCCTACAGTCCGGACATGTCACCGTGCGATTTCCATGTGTTTGGTCCACTGAAGAAACACCTGAAAGGAAAGCGCTTCAACTCGGACGACGTACTCAAGGACACTGTGAAGGACTGGGTCTCGTCACAGCCACAGGAATTCTGGGAACAAGGAATCCTGCGGCTTGTTCATCAGTGGGATCGTTGTGCTCAGGCCTATGGTGTATATTTTGAATAAAGTCTATATTTGTACCCACCGTGTCGTTTCGTACCTTTTCATTTGATCACCCCTTGTATATATATATATATATATATATATATATATATATTTATAGTGTAACTATTTAATAAAAAGTAACTAAATTAAAATGTTTCTTTGTTGACCGAAATTGGAATTAACTTAATTTTTTATATTACTTGATTTTAAGAAGAAAACATAAAAGGCCTTTGATTCAACGACAAATGATTTCATTGACAAATGTGTTGGGGGAAGTAATTAATTTTAACCCAAGTGCATAAATTCTAAATTTAGTTTTTAAAAGAATATTATTTTATAGAACGTGTATTTTAAAACACGATATTAAGGAATTAACCATAAAATTACGTTAAACAACCACCTGTACTAAGTTCTTCCAACCAACTATACTACTTCATAGTATATATATACTACCAACTATACTATATACAACCAACTATACTACTATATACAACCAACTATACTACTATATATTGTATACTATATACAACCAACTATACTACTTCACTTACACGTCGCAGACGACACCCACTAACTTTTACACTAATTTTCCTACTCAGGCATAACTCGATCACACTAAGTTATTTATTATCCGACACCCTCTTCCAATTATCCATTCCGAAATTGACTTCAGTTGAAATTAAACATTTCCCCCAGTTTTCTGAATATACTAATTACGAACTGCAATATACTGGTTTTCCTTGGTATATGAAACATTCTCTCTACTTCGGGTGTAATCAATTACCTGTTTGGGTTGCAATTCTATTAAACTTAAACTAGATCTGATTTGGTTAATGAACAGAAAGGTCCTCCATAACAAATTTCAGGGATGATCATAAGTGCTTCACACGATATGCAATTATTATTACAGTGTATTGTCATTATTAAAGTAGAGAGAGAGAATTTTGCATTTGAGTAAACTGTCCTGAATGCAGAATAAATGGGAACGAAGTGTATGTAAGAAACATAGTAATAAAAAAAAACATTTGTTCTGAATGAGGGTTGAAGATATATTTATAATCAGTTAACCCGGTGCTCTTTTCAGACTCAATTGTGTGCTTGTGACTCAATTTTCAATCATAATTTTCATCGCCCCTCCCATGCAATAACAATGCATAGAAGACAGTAAAAATCTACTTTGGCGTAAAGTTAAAATATGACTTAAATAGCCTACTATCTAAGATAAGTATTAAATTTTGTGTATTACAAGCTCATGAGAGGCAATTATCAATTATTAAACTTGTTTTACATTCAGTATTAATAAATTACTTATCAATAACATTGTGTAGTACTGGTATATTTATTATATTTTATCAGTGTAAATGTGTATTTAATTTTTTTATGTCAGATTGTATTTTTTGTTTTGCTTCCTTCGGTAAATTAATAGTTTTTTTTTAAATAATATTTTTAATAATTTTTTATTTAATCTTTTCTTTTGACTTTTCGATATGCTCGTGCCCTTAGAGTTATCATGCGACTCCAGGGAACGCACCCCACAGTTTGAGAAATGTTTACTTAACCCTTAAGTAGTCAAATTTTGCCCTGAATGTTCCATAAAAGGCACAGTTTCTTATTGCATATATTACAAGTATAATACTTAACAGAGTGCGAAAATTGAATAATTTTATTTTAATTTTCAATTTTAAAGTTTTCACATTATTTTTTTTATTTCATAATTGTGAAATTCAAAAACACTTAACTGTTTGCTTTTTATAAGCATACACTGCATGCTATGAAAAATCTTTCATAGATCTCAAAAATTTATATATCTCAAAAATACTTACAAAATAAAATCTATGACTGTACTTGTTTTTCAAATAGTTGAGAATTTTGTTTGTTTGCATGTTTGTTTGTGCATATATATACACACATACAATATGAAACATAGTGTAATTCTTAGTCTTATCCTGCAATTGGGGCAGATATAATATCGGCTTTTTTGGATTATCTTTCCATTTTCATTTCTTCTCAAGCAACAAATTAAACATTGCCATTTTTGGTTAAAAGTCTATGCAAAATAACAAAATGTATCAAAAAATTTTATTTACAAAAATTCAATCGCACCTTACCAACTCCTATCATAAAACACAGATTTTATTCGGGAGGGGGAGAGAAAGAGATATGGATGAAGATATATGTAGAGGATGACAATGTCATGCCCCTCAACAAATGCATGAAAGAGAAAATTAATTACTACAAATAGCGAGAAAATTAAAAGAGGTACTTGTCCATGACAACTTCTAAAAAATATGGTATTAAATTATATATAAAACGATATCTTTCATATATATATTTCAAATACATTTCACTTTATTTAGTCTTCCATCAAAATTATTGAAACAGAAGAAAAAAATCATATTACAATTGCTTACCTTTACATCAGCTGTGACTCAAGAAGCACTTAAGTCACACGATTGTGCGGGTAACGAAGCCTGTGTCCAACAAACAGCGTTAATAGAGTATAATTAAGATGTTTACTATTTTACAATTATTTAAACATTAAGATAAAAATGTATGTCTAAGCAATTATATATATTAATAATTACCTTTTTTACGACAGATAAAATGAAGACGTGTTTTCGTTGTATTTGTAAACAAAGCCAGCCTTGCCACCTGCAAGTAATATATGGGCTACAATGGCCGTCTGTTGACAAAAAGCGATACTTCGTAATGTAATGCTAACACGCTCAAACGATCATTTAAATACTGCCGGAGAGAAACAAAGTGACAATGTTTACCATTTTCTGTGGGTGGGGGGGGGGGAATGTACAAAACGCCTATAATTGTTTTATATACATATATATGAGTTATTCTTAAATGTTCTGTGCCATGATAATGAATGTAAAGTTTTCAAGCACTTAAGCTATATATTGAAATGGTAAATGGTTTAATTCATAATTTTAGAATGCTATAATGGTACAATTCGATAATCGGTCAGCTTAACTAATAACAATGAAAAAATGTATAACTATGGACTCTCCTCGAAGTCTTTCATCTCTAACTCAGATTTTCTTCCATCAGCCAAATTTGCACTTTAATCAAGACCAAAACAAATCAACACTAGTGAATGTCATTACCGAATAACATATAAATAGTCGGCGAGATAGTAAAGAATGTAGATGATTATGGACCATGTTCCAAAGTCATGCATTTGTATAAACTTTTAGAATTCAAGATTGAATTGTCAAATCATAGGGGTTGCATCTCGTACAGATAAGTACAATATTGTCCCTTAAAGTTTACCTTGTCTTGTCTTTCTTTAAGCCATCGCGTAGTCATTTCTATTACCTCAATTAATGAAAATAAATTGTTCAAACTTCTTGATTTCCATCATTTTGAGTTTGGTTCAAATGTTGATTCTCCCATTCGGCGTTTGAATTCCTTTCCCGTGAATCTCAGTGATTAGCCTCAACCAAATGATCACCACCTCAACCAAATGAAACAAAGTATCACGCTAGATATTAAAATGAAAATCACGAAGAAAATTGTAGTACTTACGCCCAAAATGTGTGAAAAAAACTCACTTCATGAAAAATTTTACGAGTTATGTAATTTGGAAAAGAATAACGAATATCACAGTAAACTGCCAGAATGACGAATGCATTTACAGTTTTAATGTAATTGATTATATATTAACACCACATATAGAAATTCATCGACCGCGTGAAAAAAAATTAATATGGGAAAATACACTTAAAATATAATTATTTTCTCCAAGGGGCTGCGGATTTTTACTTTTACCATTGCAAACTATATATCTCCCAGGAGCTGGTATGGTATTACTTTTTAGTGCTGCACTATATAGGCGATATCAATTGCCGCAAATAATTTTGACTCGCAGTTTCCTCCCCAGAGGGACTCATTTGAGCTCTGGTGACACAAAATTGTTCTAGGAATTTAATTTTGCCATGCGACATGCTCTCAAGGGATCTTTTCAATGCTGCATAGACGCTGTCGATGTTCTGTATTATGAAGATCAACCGATTTGGGCCGGGGTCAAACCCGCAATCTTAGGTGCAGAAGGCCAGAGAGAAACCATCTACGCCAACCAGACAGCTTTTAAAAATAATATGAGCTACGATAGAGTTGTATATTGTTTTTTCGGTGCCATGATATACTTGTAGTAAAACCATTTGACTTCTAATGAATAAACCAATTGCAAGGGAACATCTGAGAAATAAAGGACTG